CAGCCACTCTTCCCCCAGCCTATATAAATAATGAATTTCAGAAGGCCTCCAATAAAAGATATTGTTAACATAACTATTAGAAATAAGCAAAACCAGAAATTCCCAAGGAGTCCTTCAAAGCAGAGTCAGGTAGACCTGGAGCAAGTGATACCTCTTGCTGCTTGTCTGTAGCTGGAGGAATAGATCACAAACCCCACAACACATGTCATCGGTCAGCTCAGCCCAGGAAAACCCAGGTCAGATCCCAGATCAGGTACACTGGATGGTCCAGCCAGTGTACTGCTTGAAGATTCCTGATCTGATGAGAAACGTGGTGGAATTATGGCTACAAAGTGCCAGCAGAATGCTAACGGGATCTGGTGTCAGGGCTTTTGGGGGCTTTTGGAGGTGGGAAGATCAGTACAGTTATAACTTGGGGCTTTACAGCCTTGTCAGTCTGTTTTCGTTAATTTATTGGTTAATTATTTGGATAAAGATTGGTTTCAGCCTGCATCCATTTTCTAAGAGCTTCATTTTTAGAGGGGAAGTATTTCAGGCTCTGACTCTGCAAGAGCAGCAGACCTGTGCATAGTCCTTTACTGAAACAAATTTTTATTTGCAGAATATAATTATAATATGAATATAAAGTTATATATTCTTTTTAAAATGTAAATGTTTATTATGATCTAGCTGCTGTTTAATTGCCTATAATTTATTGTCAAGGTTTCAGTGCTAGCCTTCAGAGGAGTTAGACTTCTCTAACATTAAGGCATCTCCAGGTCAGATTGTTCTAAAACTTATGAGGGATTGTCACTGAAATAAACTCTCCCTGGGACCCTCCTTCTTTATAAACACACCTGTTGGGGTTTTTTTCTCTTTAAAAACATACCTCTCCTTTTAACATTATGGTTCTAGAATTTCAACGTTTTCACATTTCCCTTGGTGCTTAGACAATGTGATCCTCAAAGTAGAGACCCACATTTTCATTTTATTTTATTTATTCAGCATTAAGAGACAAGCCTATATAGAATCTAGCACCTGTCCTGTGACTGGGACTTCAAAGCATTCCCATTTTAAAAGCAAACAGCATGCTGCAGCTTGCCAGTGAAGGACATCTGCTTCTTCAGACTGTGGGGCAGGACAGTGGGTGTGTGACGTTGTCCTTGGGCCAGCTGGAGTGAGCACAGACAACGTGGTGGCCTGGCCCAGGCAGCATAAGCTATGTATTTATAACACTCACACTTGTTACTTCATTTACAGGTTTGTTGGTATGGAGAAGCATCTCTTTGAACGTGTTGTGGGAGCAATGAGAGAGAGATATATATAACTATCATCAAAGGTTTTCCTGCTGCAGCCAAGCACTAAATATCAAACTTCTTTGTGATGCCCTTTGCAAGAAGCCTGGCTGATTTTTTAACAGAATAAATTGAAGAGGTTTTACAGAATTAAAAACAAAAACAAAAACCCAAACAAACAAAACCAACCAACCAACCAAAACCCAAACCACAACACCAACCAGCCACCCAAAAACAACCAAAAAACCCAAACACAAAACAAATGACCAGACTACAAACAAATGACACCATTCAAGTGGTTGAAGGTGTGAAAGCAGAGCCCTGAGGTTGAGTGGCTCTCTCCTGTCCCCTGGGAGTTGGGGGATTGGGTTAAACCAGTCTGGGTGCAACTGAATCACCCAGAAGAGAAACCCCACACCTTCAGTGTAATCCTGGTCACCTTACAGAAGCCATGCTTTCTTTGTCCATGGTCGTGCAGAGGGTGTTGGTTGATTACCTCCTGCCCAAGGAAAGAACAAAACTGGATCTGTTGTTAGGCAATGGGACAGGTGGGGTCCAGGCCATCAGTTCTCCACACAAACTGGATTCTCATGGCATAGGACAACCTGTTTTCCATGCTTTGTCCATGGGTCATCCAGAGGGTGTTGGTGACCTGGGATTACCTCCTGCCCAAGGAAAGAACAAAACTGGATCTGTTGTTAGGCAATGGGACAGGTGGGGTCCAGGCCATCAGTTCTCCACACAAACTGGAATCTTATGGCATAGGACAACCTGTTTTTAAACAATGCACAGAAAGTAACCCTGCTGTGGGAGGACAGATGAAATGCTGTGGTTGACATGTCATCTTAAGCAGACATGCATGTGACCTGCAGAGTATGATGGTCTCAGGTAAGCAGTTGGAAGCCCTGGTGCCATCACCACTGCATTAGCTTTGGGAGAAGCAACTCCTGCTAGTCTTAACTACTGTTACAAATGGACAGTGTGTTCCAAAGTCTCTTTGGAGCTGAAAGAAAACCTTCCATTACTTGTATTTGGCTTTGCAATAGCATCACGACAAGGCAAGGAACAGGATTCACTGACCAGGATGGCCTCACAGATGTTCTCCTCTCACCCAGTCACTGGCATGGGCTCCCACCGAGCTCTGTAGCCCTCCTAGGTTGCTTCCAGCCCCATTTCAACAGCCCACCCTGTGTGTGGGTAGGAGAGGTTGGCTCGTTCCTGTCCTGTTGAAAAGATAATGCATAGGTGGGGTGGCTGAGACTCTGGCTGGGAGCTGGCAAGGCCTTTGTGCTGGCCCCTGCTTGGGATGCTGTATTGTGTCTGTTGACATCTGTTATTCTCAGTGACCAAGAATTCTGTAAAAACTTGAGGCCAAGCTAGCACATTAGAGTGTCACAGAGCAGGGCTTGGCCCAGGCTGCCCAGGGAGGTTCTGGGGTCCCCATCCCTGGGGGGGTTCACAGACGTGTGGACATGGCACCTGGGGACAGGGTTTAATGGTCATGGTAGTGTTAGGTGATGGTTGAACTTGATGATCTTAGAGGTCTTTTCCAACCTTTGTGATTCTATGATTCTAATAAAGGAAGTAGGAGATTCCCATCTAATCTCTTTGGTTTGAGAACGTGACCTAGATCCCAGTCCCCACAGCTACATGGAGTGGGGCTTTTTTGTTTCTGATTACTGTGTAATCAGACCCAAAATCATTACAGTACCCTGATTCTCATAGCAAGAAATACCCTCTAAGTGACTTGATATGTTGCTGCAGATTCTTTTCTACCTGTGTCCTGTGTGTTGTGATGTTTGGTGGAACATCTGGGAACACAGGAGTAGAGCTCACAGTCTGCAGGCTCAGTTCTGAGCAAAACTGCTGCTGGTAGTGAGTAACTGGGCTCTTACTTCTCCATCTCTAGGGTCCTGGGCAAATACCAAACCCTGCCATGCTCAGTCCTTTCTAGAGGTAAGGGGCTCAGTATATAGGGCTGCTTATAACTATAGTTTTCTTTGGGAGTCTTTTTTGCCCTGTCTCTTTTTTAATATATTCTTTTTCTACTTCCTTTCTTATGGAGGCTTAGATCTGACACTCCAGCTCAAGGCCACTCCAGCACAGAGGTCATTCTAAAACCTGGCCGGTGAGGACACTTGGAGAGTTTCTTTTGCAGCTTGTCAGAAATAGAAAAAGTGGAGTTGTTTTATAGTTCCCTGGGCTCCTTCTCTTTAGAGCCTGGCCCAGCAGCCCTGGGAACAGCAGCTCTGGTGAGGTCCCAACTCCTGTTGCAGGGGCTGGCTTTACACAGACACAGATGTATAGAAACTTTTTTCTACAAGTGAAATGGAGTTTGTTTAGGTGCCATGTTCACTTGGACCAGGCTTTTCTGCCCAAATACTGCAGTGATCTTTTCCTATTAACAAGGAGCTTCCTCTTCAAATGAATTTGCAGTGGTACATTGATTTTCTAGGTGGTCTTCCCATTGGGAATGAGGAGGGAGCTGGGCATATGCAGTGAGCTGTGTGCTTTTGCTGTCCTGTTTCAAACTATAGTCTCACCAGTTTTGAAATTTGGATTTTTTTTTTGCTTTCACTGTGAAGAACCCAGCTCTAAGCATCTAAGAATAATATCTGCTGGTCTGCATGTCTCTATGAGAGTCAAAGAGAAAAAGTGAAATCAGCCAGTCATGCATCCTTTAACCCTAAGCTGTCGTTTTGACGGGGAGAAAAAGACAACTGCACTTCTGTGACTCCATGGAAAAAGTAACAGAGGGCACCAAGGTGTGGAAGGAACTTCAGTATCCCTGTTACTCTGTTTTGGAGTCAGAATTTGTGTTCAGTTGGAGTGACTGGGAAGTGCTTCCAGGTCTCTAGATTTAGATGCATCCAGGGTTCAACATTTACTTTTTTAAATCCTAAAAATCATGGTCCCAGGTCAGAACTGACCTCCAGGAAGACTGAAGGTGAAATAACAATTTCCAGGAGCCACTCAGGGGGTTATTTAATGGCTTTTGAATAGTGACAGTTCTTTTTCCACTTTTTTTTCTGAAATTTTGTACAAAACCCTAGAATTAACACTAAAACCTTTCTCCAGCCAGTCTCTGACAGAAGTAACAGAAGGATTGGTCAATTTTTTGCTGATTTGTTTCCCTTTTCTTCGCAGGTCTCCATGAAATCCAGTGTTCCCTGCCTGTAGAAAACAGAAGAATCTTTCTGAACGAATTATCTGAGGTCAGCTTTAGTGAATGCAAATTTAGTTTGTCCCTGACAGACCTTTTTATCATCATCTTCTCTGGAGTGGCAGTGTCCATCGCTGCCATTCTGTCCAGCTTCTTCCTGGCCACCCTCGTGCACTGCTTCCAGAGATGTGCTCCCAGTAAAGATGACGATGACGACGACGACGACAGTGAGGACTGAGCTCAGTCTGTACACTTCAGTTTCCTTGGTTTATAAGTTACTAAATCATCAGCCAAAGTCTAGCCTAGGAAGAAAACGAGTAAAAGGTTTAAACATGAATTAAATGAAGTCACAACGTGTGAGGTTCCCTTCTCACCTCCTGACAGGCAGGGGAGGGAGTTGCACTTTGCATCTGAGACTGTTGCCTTTGGTTACATTTGCAACCTGGTGCAAGGAGACCATCTTCATTCCTCTCATCCCTAATCAAGCAAGGCATTTAAAGATGAAGACTGGAGGAAAAAAGGGGAAAAAAAAGGTTCCATTGTTTAAAAAGACTAAGTCCCAGCTTTCCAATTGTCCCTCGATGAGATGCAGATTCCAGTGAGTCTTTGTTCTAAATGCAGCCTGCAAAGGAGAGGCTGGATGGAGGCATTTCAGCTGGACAGTGTGGAAGCAATTTCAAATAGTGCCCTTCCTAGATCTAAGTAGTGGAAGATTCCACTAAGCTCAACAACTTTCTAAGTTACAAAATGTAATTAAAATGATTCCTAGATTTGTAGAGAGCATTATAGGAAGGTTGGCATTTTCTCTCTCCAAATGTTCTCTATAAATATTCATTCTCCATTTAATGAAAGCAATTCAGTCAAAAAAAAAAAGATTTCTCTAAGCAAATACTGTTCTAGCTCTGAGTCATCCTCTGCAGCTGCCTGGCATCTCTTCAGTCATGGCACAAATACTAATAATAACTTTATTTTGCATTGTTAAATGCAATGAAGTAAAGGATTTCCCTTCCCTATAATGCTAGGCACAAGTAACTGATGCAGCATCCAGTCCATTTAGTTATTTTAAACCAGTATCCAGTCCACTTAGTTATTTTAAACCACTAAGGGCTATATTCTGCTCCTGATTATACTAGAGTAACACAACTGAAGTGAACACCATGATCCAAATTGGCAACTGTGTAAACAAGAGTGGAATCTGGCCTGAGATGTTTCTGACTGTATTATGTATTTGTCAAAACTTGAGCTCTTCTATATAACAGTAGATATTTTTGTTAAAATGTAAAAATACATTTATTACAAGAGATTTTTGGAATAGTGCTGGACAGCTTTTTAGGATAAGTATATTTTTCAAATATTTGTAATGGAAATATTTTTTTAAAGCTGTGTGTATTTAAAGTATTATCTAGAGTAGCTGTGAAGGCTTAAAGTAAAGAATAACAGTAATAATCTGAGGACTGTATGCTATTATAAATGAATTAGATCTGATAAAAAGTAGCATCTCTTTACTGTAAATGCTGTTATTTCTCAAAGAACACTCATTGGTTCAAATGCTGCCTTGCTCAGTTAATGTGGATGGGGTTTCACACCAGTTATTCCAGTCTGTTGTGTCTGTTGTACTGACTCAGGCAGACAGGGGGATGACACCCTGTGTGTTACGGGGTGCTGGGGGCCAGCAGATGGGACACGAGGTGAGGACTCAGCACTGGTGTTGTCCCCAGCTAACAGTGCTCAGCTAGAAAACCTTCCACGAGTCTCTCCCTGGCTGTGCCTCAGTTTCTCTCCCTGTAACACGAAGATGATGACAACTATTTCTCTCTCTCATGTGCTTTGGACACGCAGCAGGGAGCCACTGCGGGGCTGTGTGTGCAATGCCAGGGGCTGGGCTGGAGCAGATGGGGCTGAGCTGGTCTCCTCCCAGTTCCACACCACTGGCATCAGAGGAGTCACTGCACTGGCTGAGCTCGCAGTGGAGGTTGTGCCACACTGAGGTCAAAACCAGGATGAGAGTGTTTATTTCTGTTAGCTCTACAGCTTCTTCAATGCCACTTAACGTGCTGTTGTTAAGATTATTATTTCTGAAAACACTGAAACAGAATTCAGGAGGACAGTGGGAGGATGTTCTGTATCAGTCCTGTCTTGTTCTGATCTGATTCTTTCAAGAAAAATGAAATGACATGATTTTCACTGTGTAGTGCCACGATTATAAATAACACAAATATATTTATAATTTCAAAATGGGTTTTCATGCTTATTTATATGCGGGGATAAAGGAAAAACCAGGAGACAACCCGTGGCTGGTTCTCTCAGTGTTGCTAAGCAGGGTTTGCAGCACGGCTGGAAATACCCAACGTGTTGCCTGGTGCAGTTTCTGAAGTAAGCTGCCTTTGCAGCAAGTGCAGATACCTTATCAACAAGTTTTATATTTAGAGCTGTGCAAATTGTTCAGTCATGGAACAAGAAAACTGGGTCACGTTGGTTTTTTGTCTGTTAGTTTTAGCCTGGACTCCAAGCAGAGGGGAAAATGATTTGTCCTACAAAACTTTCCAGTGGAGCATCAGTGAATGTTTCAGTAAATGTCTTCCCTTCCTTTGGTAAAGAACTTATGGGTTGGTTTCATTCTCCTTTAAGGCTGAGTAGTTTTGCAGAGATCACATCTCAATCTCAACTCCTTTGACTGGGCTCTGCTCTCACTTGCAGGTTTATCCTACCATGGTACCTCAAAATGAAGATCTAGATTTGTTTGTGGTTTGTAGCCTTTTGTTCAGCCCCACATAAAGCCCTGAAAGCACTGATTATATTTGGAACATAGCAAGGAGCAGATCAAGCTGACAGCCACATAATCCAGTGGAAGCTGAAGAGCAAGGGTTAGTAAAGCTTTATTGGTGGGGCTGCCATTCTGGGTACTCCCAGCACATCACAGTGATTTTGCAGTGTATGTTTTTTTCTGCATAAGAAACTTTAATGATGTTTTCCCCTACTAAGTAATGTATATTTAATAAGTATTGCAGTCATCCAGTCAGTAATATTTGTTCATTGTAAGCATCAGCAGTTACCTACTATTAATATTGATTTTGGCATAATTCTAACTGCTAGTAAATGAGACAAAACTTGGATTTAGTTCTTAGGGGGATTTTTCTTACTTTATGTAATCTTCAGAGTGGAACATTCTCCTGTCGGAACATTGCCAGAACTAGCAGTCAACATAGTGATCCCCTGCAAAACTCTGAAAGCAGATTTCATCCCCAATAGGAAGTGGCTGGAAGGCTGCACCCTTGTGCAGCCTCACTCCACAGAGGCAGTGACGTGGAGAGAATCCCACCTCCAGCCCTGGGGCTGTGGGAAGTGTTCCCAGGCCAGGATGCTGCTGTGGGTGGGAGCCACTGAGCACACACTCCCTTTGCAGACTGTGGTAACCCCTGTTGAGGTTGGTGAAGTTGCAGCAGTGCCAAGAATAAGGGCTGGACTGAGCTGCCTGGGCAGGACGTGGCTGGCTGCAGAAGCTCTGCCTGCAGGTGATTCCAAACGTGCAGTGGGAAGTCTGTCCTCAGGTATGATTTTCCTGCTAAGATGGCTTTACTTCAGTGGTGGTGTCTCACTGTCAGAAGGAGCAGACCTTTTACCTGCTTCAAGGTGCAGGGAAGATGCCATGTGTGACCCAGATAAAGCAGGGCAGGCTCAGAGAGCCAGGCAGCAGCTGTCACAGTGCCTGCAGATACGTCTCCTTGATGAAATGCTGGATCTTGGAATGTGTGAGGATCCAAAATGTGCAGGAAAGCAAATCTGCATGATGTAATTGAGACGCAGTCTGACTCTTCAGAAGTGTGCACAGTAGTTTAAAAAAGCTCTAATCCACAGCATATTAAAATAAAGATCACCTGGAGCTAGAGTGTCATCCTGTCAGCCAGCATCTTTCTGAGGCAGCTTCAGTCCTGACGTGATTCTCACTCAGAAGTGAATATTAATGGCTCACTTTTCAGAGCAGCGTAGAAATGCATTGGGAATGTACCCTGAAGGGATGGTTCTGGAAGCTCCTGGAGAGAATACTGCTTGCCTACCTCAGACAGGGAGCAGAGTGTCAACCACTGTACACTGACAGCTGAAATTTAGCCTGCTGTACTTAGAGGTGACCAAAAATGGTCTCATCTTTTGGCTGTGGGAAGAACTGAATGGAATCTCCTGTCTGTGTGGATAGGGTGTGCACACTTGTGTGGCAGGGAGAAGGTGTGAAGCACCTGAGACAGCCCTTCATCCCTAGCAGAGATTCCTCTGTGCTGCCTTCCAAACCCAGGGCTGTGACTCTGTGCAGGACCTTTTACTGCTTCAGCACCTGCTGCCTACCTGCTACCTGAGTAAAGTTTCCAGGGCTGCTAGCTGCCACGTTGTTAAGTTCAGCTCACATTGCCCAGAAAAAAGGAGCAGAGCTTTTGATAGCTTCCAAATCTGACCATTCCTCTCAGAGAACAATGTTACTGTTTGTGGTGTGACCTGTTTTACCAGCCCCTGGAGGTGACCAGAGATGCTTCACTGGGGAGGTGAGTCGTTGGGATGCATTGTGGGGTGGGTGATGAAATGCATCCTTGCATACTCTCCAAAAAGAAATCAGAAATATACATTAGGAAATTAAATTCCTTGGTGAGGAAGATCTGCCATGGGCTGAGTGCTGGGCACCCTGTGATGTGTGTAAACCTCCAGAAACATTCATTTCATGTCCTGTCTGTTAATGCTGGAGTAATACAACCTTGTCATAGAGGTGTAGGAAATAGCTCAGGAAGAACCTCAAATACATCATCTAATGACAGCTGATCCTTTGTAATAAAAATACCTGGGTTATCACTCAGATTCCTACTCCCATCTTGCAGTAACCTTGGTTTCTGTATGCTCATACCTTGACTGTATCTAGCACAGAATCCCAGTTTGGTGCCATCTCTGCATGCACAGCAACACAAATCACCACCAGCAGTAACCAACCAGCAGATCAGGAGGAACAGGGTTTTGTTTATGCTGAACAACCATCCATGTAAAGAGTTAGCAGGGGAAAAAAACATTGAAATAGGATCTGACAGAGATTCCAACAGGAGACCTTCTGTGGCAAGGCAGAACGCCTGAATTGTGATGTGTCTCCATTCCCCTCAGACCTCACACCCCACCCAGAGCTCCACGAAGCTGTGTGAGATTGTGTAACGTTGGGTTAGCAGCACAGAATGTGCTTTTTTGGGGGTTGTTACCAAACATGAGTAA